AGCCTTCTGGAGCGCTGAGCGATATTGAGTATGCGGCCGACTGGACCTCCCGTTCTGGGTTCCACACAATAAGAACTGTGAGACTATGCTGAACGATCTGGTGTTGCATCCCGGTGCATGTCGCTAATATCGCTCTTAGGGCACTCCACTCTTCATGGCTGCAGAGAAGATTGCCTCTCGTTGGATGTACCTCCCACGCGATGCCGTCCGGCACAAGCGACGTCAAGCATATAAAAACCGCGATCCATTTGGCCAGACTATCACACACACTGTCGCTCCACAGGAGGGCCAGGTAGCCTCGGAGCCACCTGAGTTTTGGAACACTCCACTTCATGATCCTGAAGATTTGTACTGGGTCGCCGTCTACAAACTCCTCCATAGCGTGCCTGCCGCAAATCCGGTGCCTGCACCGAGGCAGGTTCACACTCGGAACCTCTTGTTCGGGTATGGAAACGCATCAAATGATCGCAAGGAATTCATGAGTTTTGGTCGGCTGTCGGAGCCCCTAAAGACACCGGCAACCGACCCGGAGATGGTACCGGCCGCATTCTTGCCATGGTGGCTTGTCCTGAAGGAAATCGGAGCAGTCATTGCGAGAGCCCATTATGACTGTGAAGAGGAGTGGAATAACGACACGTTCTACCCCAATTTACAGGACATCTGCTCACTTTTTGTCGAACTGGTCAATACGATGCGAACGGATCTAGAGATTGCGGATTATCCTGACCCTAAAGAGGATGCGGCACCGACACACCCATCGATACCGGGGAGTGAATCTCCCAGTCAAGGCCGAGCGACGAAGAAACGCAGAACCAATAAAGAGTAGGAATTCTGGTGCATCTATACGCCTGTAGAGATATACAACGTGACACTCGTTAATGTACCAAACCATTATTGCATCGGGCGGAATACCACAGACGAGTATGGTCATTGTCCTGCAAAAGAATAGACATTTGCGCGCACGTGACAAATGTCTTCCTCCTTTTCCCAAGCATATTGTCACCGTGCCAGTAGCATTAGCTTCCCTGTTATAGATTGTTGACTGAAGAGCAACTATCTAATCGGATTCTGCGCACAAGATAACGCGTGCATCGAACACAAATCCTGTGGGCTACATAGGATACCGGTTTTGGTGTCGCGTCGGCTCCTGTCATAATGAACTCTTCCTGCCGGTCACGCAATGCGCAAGTACCTTCTATTGATTGCACGCAATCCGATCAATGGTCAACCTTCCACTCGCTCTACGAGTGTCGCGAAATTGAACATCGCAAAAATCGCCTGGTCCCAGTGAGAACTGCATCTACTGGCTCTCGTCCATCTTACCGTGCGTGCACATGGAATCAGCCGAAGTGGAAACAGTACACGATCAGCTCACGGAAAGTGGTTTATACGATCCAGTGACAGGATTCTATAGCTAGAAGGGCGTGGAGGGAGCGTGGAGGGAGGAAACGTCAGAAGAGATGCCGACCTGTACGGTGCTCTCTCGCCCATTGTGCACGCTATTCTTCACTCCATCCTGCGATGTCTGCCGAACCCGAACAGACAAGACTGTTGTATCAGCACCGGCTTCATCACGGGACAGTTCAATCTCAGCCGGACATGTTATTTACAAGGTCGTCGTTGTCAACGGTACCCACTTCGACTGTTGGTTGGATGAATGTTCGTGAGGTGCAGGTGTTGAAATCACGGTCGAGCGAATGTGTCGAGGTTCTCCCCACTGATTGATGAGGATGCAACATAACTGATGAAGAGTCAGATAGAGAACAAGGCGATATCGTATCTCCATCTGGCTCTTGACAGCGATATCACGCGATGGTGTGTCTATGGCTCAACGTTCGTCGACAATATCATGCGATGCTGCAAGATGTCCAGGGTGGGGGCGGTGGTTTTGGAAGAGGTTGATATTGCTAAGGTGAGCTGAGGACATCGAATGGGGAAATCTCTAATCTGATGTCGTCTTTTTGAGCAGCATCCTCGTTTCCTCATCGAATCGTTGTTCGAATAGCGAAGGGAAGTGAGTTCGACCTCGGCATCGACCCTACGGTCGTCCGCCTGTCAGGCGGGAACCACGAGTTCAAAATATCGTTCGGAGACGGGGCGAGCCGAACGTACACGCCGACAAAACTGCTCTTCAACCAACGCGCCCAGTATATCCGAGGTTCTGCAACTCGTATCTTCCTGGTTCGAGATGAGAACGACATCAAGGCGGTGCTCAAGGATTCGTGGCGTGACTCGGTCGTCCCTCGGAAGAGCATATTCTCGACAATATCTTCGAAGCCTTCACGCGGAATCTGTCGAACGACTATTCTCTAGCGGAAAGGGAGGAGCGTGTGGACAGGGGATGACGACATTTCGTTCCGATCGTCAAGTCCTGGTTGGTAGAAGACACGAAGGAAGGAAGGCTTATCACACCCAAGAACTCTGAAGACGGCGACCGAGAAAGCAGTGACATATTGCGGATACGACGGCAGCGCTGGAGAACTGTTTATGGAACTTTCGGCGTACCCTTGAACAGGGTTATGGATGCTGGACATGTTTGTATTGTTTTGTGTGACCGACACCGCAGGTGAGCAGGAGTCATATCTCTGTTATCTGGGCTCTCATCGTCTCCAGCGCCCATGATGTTAACGCTGGCCGAGTATCGACACGGGGGTTTAGTCTCAGCAATATGTAGATGGTGCCAGAAGACAGCCATGAGCCTTCTGGAGCACTGAGTGATGTAGAGCATGCGGCTGACTGGGCCTCCTGTTCCATGTCCCACACCATATGAATCGTGAGTGTCATCCAGATCATCTTGATGCAAGTCGCTTATGAGGACAGGACACTCTGCTCTTCACGGCGGCAGAGAAGGTCATGTCTTTGCGGATATACTTCCCCGATATCATCGAGGACGACGAAGAGGAAACTCCCCTGCGATCCATTCCCTTGCACACAATCATGCCGGTTGTTGCCGCACCAGATCGCCCACCACAAGTGAAATACACTCCCCTGCGGTCCATTCCCTTGGACAGAACCATCCCCGTTGTTTTTCCACCAGATCTCCCACTACGGGTGAAGCACTCAATACCTAATTTCTGGGTCATCCCACTTCATGATGCTGAAGAGTTGTATCGGGTGGCGGTGTACAAACTTTTTTTCGGTGTGCCTCGATCCGACCCGGTGCCTGTCCTGCAGGTTGAAGTCAGGAATACCTTGTTCGGGTACAGAAACACGTCCTATTATTGCAAACAGTTCATGATTTTTGGTCGACTGTCGGAAACAGGCAAGAAACCAGCAACTGACGAGGATAGGGTGCCGACCCCATTCTTGCCGTGGTGGTCATGTGTGAAGAAGACTGGGAAGATCATTGCGAAGGCCCATTACGCCGATCAGGGACATTGGAACAATAACATCTCCTCAACTGCCGAGAAGCTTTTTTTCGCTATACAGCAATCTGTTTGATGTGTTCCCAACAGATCTGGAGACTGTCGATCATCCTGCCCCCAAAGAAGACCGGGCGCCGACATGGCCGATGACCAGGAGTGAGTCCCCCAGGGAAAGTCGAGCGAGGAAGAAGCGCAAGACTAAAAAAGAGTGATAGTGAAGGATGTAAAACACTGCATTGACACTAATATGAACATATCGAAATTTAATATGCTGTGTGACGTTAATATAGGATCAAATGTGAGGACAGAGGACAGACCAGCAAAGCAACTGGACGTTGTTATCACCGCCGGGGCAAACCATAAAAGGCAATCTGCCCTCGGTTCCGCCCGGAGTCGGAGAAAACGCCTCCATCCGCGCCCGATTCTCCAGACCCTTACCGTCCGTTGTCCGTCTCCTCGAGCGTTGTCCTCCTCCACTCCGCCTCTTCACCTCTCCTTGCTTGCTGTTCTCTCTTTGCCTCTTGCCAACATGTCCCTCTTCCGCGCCTCGTTTGTTGCTCGCCGAGTGCTGCGTGCACCACGCGCTTTCCCAGCTCGTTCCTGGGCAGTGCGCACTCTTACAAGTATGTCAACACTCCCCCACAGGGCACGGCTAAACACTAACACCCGACAGCAAAGAAATACACCACCGCACACGAGTGGATCATCTACGACGACGCGACCTCTACCGGTACGACGGGGATTACGGACTACGCCCAGTCTAGCCTGGGCGACGTCGTCTTTGTCGAATTGCCTGCACCGGGAAGTGAGCTCCTCGCTGGAGAACCGCTGGGCGCGGTGGAGAGCGTCAAGGCTGCGTCGGATATCGTACGTCTCCATACTTTGGATATGTTCTCATGAGCATCACTCTGGCGTCTTTGTCTCTTGTTTCTGGCGACATGCTGTTCATACCTTTCCGCGACCCACCCCCACCCACACCTCCCGCATGACCCACCCCGATCTCCCACTTCCTCCAACCTCTTTCCTCCTCCTCCCCTCCTGATAGCTAACGTCTCCTACAGTACTCCCCCGTCTCCGGCACCGTCGAAGAAGTGAACGAGATCCTCGCTTCTGAGCCTGGGCTCCTTAACAAGTCCCCTGAGGAACGCGGTGCGTCCATCTCTTCCTTTTCCTGATGTTCCCCCACCCCAGCAGGCCTTTTCCCTTTCTCCTTCCTGCTCCCACTCCCATCCCTGTTAAACAACGCTTATCGCGCTCTTGAATCCCCCTTTCTATTCCCCAACTTGTGACTGCTTCACTTCCCCAAACTTGGCATTCAACACCTCTTTCCTGCCAAACAACGACTGACATCCCACAGGCTGGCTTGCAAGGATCAAGATGTCCAACCCTGCCGAGGTACGTCCTTCCCATTCTGCCATTCCCATCTCTTCTATTTGCCTTCTCCCCTCCTTCCGGTGGCAAACGTTCCCGCTTTATATTCTGTGTCCTTGCCTATCGGGCATGCATGCATTGGCGTCCTACCACCCCACTCCCCATCTTCCTGGCCCACATCCCCATCCACCATCCCCCGTCCCGTCTATCTTCACTTCTCTCCATCTTCCCCTTTCCGAACACGTACTCATCCGTGACAGATGGACGAGCTCCTAACCGAAGAAGCGTACAAAGCGCACTGCGAGAACGAGGAGCACTAACGTCCTTGACCGCTCCGATCCATAGATGAGGGGGATCGACTTCAACAGGTGGACAATCTCGTGCAAGTTGTGCGGGGGCGAGACAAGGCACGAGTGGAGGGGGAAGGGAATACACATACATATGCATATGCGTATGATACGATAGTTCTTTCTAGCATTATTCGGTTTGTACCGAAAAGCCTTCAACGGCACATGATTCCCGATCCCTTCGCCCTCTCGAGTGCATTTATCCGCAGTCCCGATTCTCTCAGTGAGTTTCCTCGCCTGCTTCCCCCTCGGCTGCTCCCTCAGCCTTGAGCCTCGCCTGCTCAGCCTCCCACGCCTCGCTCCCCCGTACGTACTTGCTCGGGACGTACTTGTACGCTTCGCCCCGCTCGTCCATCCGCCGACGGGCTTCGGTCATGGCCCATGTGGTGATACTGCGGCGAGGTTAGAACGCCGAGGGGAGGGGGGGGATAAGGGAGGGGAAGGGGGTAGACGGGAGGGGGGGATGTTGGGGACGTGTGGGGCTGAACACGAGTGATGAAGGATATCGGTGAACGATGTTTGGTCGCCATCCCGATCCTGATCCCGACCCAAACCCAATCAAGGAAGGAAGACTCACGACGTATCAGGCTTGTAGTACAACGCCACGCCCGCGACGGCGATACTCCCCCACATGCCGATATACCACGGGAGCTCCCATGGTTCCCATTTACGTTTCTGACCTGCGGGGAGGGGCTGAAATGGGTGTAAGTGGATGTGAGTAGATGAGAGGATGGGGGAGGGGTGTACGCACCTTTTCGCCGAATAACCATCCAGATGGCTCGTTATAGTGTGGCCCTCCGTGTGCAGATTTCTGCCTTGCCGTTGTGGAGATGTGTCTTGAACGCACGAGTCTGATTGCCTTGAGTGTGCGTGACATTGTGTTAGAGAGGAAGTGAACAGAGAGGGAGAGGTGATATGAGAGTGCGGAAGTAACTGCACGTGCTCATGGGACGGATTCTTTCTCCTGGTTCTGGTCCCTGTGTGGAATCTACCGAGTAGAGGCTAGATCACGCTCACCCTTTGCGACATACCTGGATGTTCCAACAGCTGAGGAAACGACTTGAAGACGGGATAGACTCGATCGAGCATCTGGCAGGCGTTCATCCTCATCCAGGGGAAACGGCGTCTGCTTCTGCTTCTGTTGCTGCTCCTGCTCCTGCTTCTACTGCCTCACCCCCACGTCGATCAACCGATCGCTCCCCTTCCCCTTCTCACACCGCCAAGCCCTCTATCCCATTCTCTGCATTCTCACTCAGACTCGCCCGTCACTCATCTGAAGAACGCCGTTTGAAACAGAACAGCGTCGATCGTGAGCTTGATTCAGTTCAACCTCCACTATCTCGATCAGATTCTGGATCAATACACGTGCATATGGGATCGGGTAGGATGACTCTTGAGGACAGGCTAAGAGGCGCTTTTACCATTGGTGATGACTCGGGCGCGGCGACTCCTGCAGAGGAACTGCCAGCGTTGGGCGTCGTTCCTCCAACGCCGCCGACGTTGACACCGGGAAGGACACCGCAGAAACTGGATACGCAACTACCGCAGATGACACTCGAATACGCCGCTTCCATTCCCTTGCCACCGAGTCGCCCAAGCTCACCAGATCAGGGCAGCAGGAGGCAGAGGCAGTCAACCTCCCCCACTCCATCCACCACGTCCCCAACCATATCCGCATCCGCATCCGCAAGCGCAAGCTCAGTCTCCCTCGTAGGATCATCATCCCCACTCGCATATGTCAGCTCGGGCTCGGCAGCCGATTTGCCCGCAACGAGCATTCCCCGCACGCCGAGGTTGGCCGAGAGTAGGGAGGGGGTGAGCAGTCCCCGGTCCATGAGTTTGCCGGATGCTGCTCGGTTGGATGCTGCAGATGGAGGTTCGAGTGGGGATGGAGAAGGGGAAAAGGGGAAGGAGGTGGAGCTTGATCGACAAAAGGAAGTGCAAAGCCCCCTGACACTGCCAAACCCCCGCAGCAGGCGAGGGAGCGAGCTCCCAAACAGCAGCATCAAAGAAGGAGAAGAAACTGCCCGACTGCGCGAACGACTAGAGCTCGTGGAAGGGCGGTTTGCCGGTTCGTCCCCCCCTCCTTCCCCCTTTTTGGATGATGCGCGTGCTCATGCGGAATAGAAATATCAACGTCGTTTAAGAAGATGCAAGGGGAGCGGCTTGCGCTCCTCGCCGTGCTCAGGGAGCTCACTAATCTCGAGACGCTCTCCCCTCAGGGAGTGAGGGAGTGCCTGCAAACCCTTTTGGACGAAAGCGGGAAAGCGAAAGAGGAAGTGGCGAGGTTGCAGGGGCTTATAAAGCGTGCGTATCTGGTTCTCTGAATGTCTGGTTCTGGTGTTGGAGCCCGGGGCTGATGGGTAGACAGAACAGGAAGAGAGGATGGACGAGCTCAGGGATACGCATAGGCTCGAAGGGGTATCCCGGACCCAGCAGCTAGAACAAGTGCGCAAACAGCTCTCGGAGTGCGAGGCGCTGCTTACTGCTCAAGCTTCTAAGAGCGGGGAGGTGGACACGCTCAAGCTCGAGGGGGAACGGCTCAAAGGGCTCGTGAAAGAGGAAGAGGAAAAGCGAGGCAAGGCTGTCCAGCTGCTCAAGAGCGTCAGGCAGAAACTTGTCAAAGCCGAAAAGGAGAGAGACGAGGCTGTCTCTTCCTCTGCTGCCGCTGTGCGTAATGCAGAAGAGGCGGCGCGGAAGGAACGAGATGTGCGGGAGGAGTTCGATAGGGAGAGAGAGAGGCTCAGGGGGGAGAAGGAGAGGGAAGTCGCACTTGTTCGAAGAGATATGGCTGCTGAGGTCTTGAGGGGTCGGGAGGCTGCGGAGAGGGACTTCAGGTCCAAGCGGGAAAAGTACGAGCTCGACGCTATCCACGCTAAGGTGATTCTTCCCTCCTCCCTCCCTCCTTGCCCGTGTATGCTAATCTCAATCGTTCCCAGGCCGCGTACGACAAAGAACTCTGCTTCCGTTTATCCCGTATCTCCGCGCTCGAGTCGTCCAACACCGCCCTCTCGGCAGAACGCGACCACCTGTTCGACGAACTCCAGCTTCGGCAGGCAGAGGTCGAGTCCTCCCGATCGGCCTTAGAGCTCGCCCAGGCCCAGACTGGGGAACTTGGCTACCAGCTGAGGGAAGTATCGGACAGGCTCGCAGTCGCTTTGGAGGAAGTTGGCGAGTTGCGCCGGGGTGCTGGGGGGGAAGAAGAGGGCCGGAGGAGGGAGGTGGCGAGGTTGTTAGCTGAGAGCGAGCAGCGCGCGGAGGGCAGAGTGGCGGAGCTCCGCGAGCGCTTGGCTGCTCTAACTAAGGAGAGGCAAGGCGCTGAAGAGGAGTGGACGAGGGACATTGCTGACCGTGGGCGGGAGGTAGAGCGTTTACGCCGCGTCATCGATGGGAAGGACAGGGAGTACGCGCAGGCTGTGAGGGAGAAGAAGGAGCGGGACGAGAAGGTGGACAACCTTCAGCTGGAGATGAGGCGGTTGTTGGATCGGGTAGGCGCGGGGGAGGCGGAGGTTGCTGCGGGTCGGGTGGAGGGGGAGAGGCTCAGACGGGAGGAGGCGGCGTTGAGGCGGGATATGGAGGTGTTGAGGCTTAGGCTGGGAGAGAGGGAGAAGGAGCTGGAGGAAGTGAGGGGGAGGGAACAGCAAGTCAGGAGCAGTAATAAGGTGCGTGTGTGGGTTGGGGAGCGTATTTGGATGCGGTTGCTAACCGTGTGCCTGTGGCAGACACTCCGCGACGAACTCCGCAAAGTTCAGTCCTCGGCTGCGCTCCTCGAACGAGGGCGTAACCCCGGCGTAGGATACTTCTCCGCCCGGACGGGGATCACCTCGCCCCCGAACGGTGACGCCTCTGGGAGCACGAGCGACATCCTTTCTCGTAGCTCGACGGACAACGGGAATGGGAATGGCTACCCTACTGCTTCTGCGCCTGCCCCTGGTAGCCCGGCGAGGAGCGAAGCCAGCCTGAGCAAGAACGAAGAAGAGGTCAATCTGGAGTATCTGAGGAACGTGATCCTCCAGTTCTTGGAGCATAAGGAGATGCGAGTCAGTGTTTCTTCGTTCTGTCCTGTCCTGTACTGGTGCTGACTGGTGCTGATTTGTATTCAGCCAAATCTCGTCAGGGTGTTGAGCGTCATCCTCCGGTTCACACCGCAAGAAACCCGCAGGCTCGTATCCAAAGTCGGGAACTAGATCTCCGGCCGTTCGCAGCCCAAGGAGCAAAAGAAAAAAGCTACAACACGCACATTCTCATCTATCTACCGCGACAGTTGATACCCTGTCATGTTGGCATTGTAATTTATCTGCATCTGCATGAATCGTGAATCGTTGATCGTTTGGCTTGTGTCCAGGTCTGGGAGCTCCTGCGGTCGACTGGGCTTGGACGTTGAGGACGCTACCTGGGTCTCTGTGCTTGTTTTGGAAGGCGCTGGGAATGCTCGAGACGCTTACAATGGCTCGTCGGCTAAGGTCACCTGGCTGGCGTATGCCCAACACATCGTCGCAGGTATCGATATCGATCTTATGGGTGGATCTCTTTCGACGAACACGTGACGGTGGGCAGAATTTAACTCGCAAAGAACGAACAAAGAGCGTTCACTTTTGCCACCCGGTACTTCTTTTGTTGTGGACAGCCACTGGTGAACGAGGTATCCTTGTGCTAACATGTGCTCATACCTTGCAATCTGGTCGCCTCATTGCGCCCTGGGACTTCTCTCCGCGTCATCTACGAATCCCAATGAGCTCGATCAATGCTGCGAACGATGTTCTTCCAGGCGACCCGGAAGGCGAGCAGAGTAACCAGAGCGATCGAGCGTCTGAAGCAGCCAGCTCTACTAACCACGTGAATGACCCCTACAGTCTTACTACCGCCGAAAAGAACTGGGCGGACATGCAGAAAGACCTGGAGAAACGAGGATATATGCTACGTCGCCGCTATCATCTAGGATGGGTGGGATCCTGGGTTGGTACGAGGAAGAGACCAGAGCGTTGTGAGGACAGCATCCCGATTACCGTACGCGGCCTCTATTTCCAGAAGTTAGGGAAAGAACTGAGTGCTGTCAGAAACACCTGATATTGATGGATGCTGTGCGAATGAGTGACAACCGTGGTGTCCTTCTCAAGCTGTGGAATAACAACGAGCAGGACGGAAAGGAGCTCCCCATTCTGCAGTACTTCTCCGACCCTGCTCGTTCAAGTGATCCTAACAACCATTGTGTTCCTCTTCTGGGTACCCTGACTATTCCTGGACGGTCGGATTTATTTGAGTGTATTATTGTTGAACCGCTTCTGCGACGAGGGCAGGAGCCACCTTATCTGATCGCTGCCGAAGCGATGGACTTTATTCTACAAGCGCTGGAGGTATGTTTCACTCTTTCCGCCAGACGAGTCGGCAAAAGGCAACTGAGTTTAACTAGGGTCTCGCGTACATGCATTCCCATAATGTGGCTCACGGGTGAGAAGGATAGAAACCTGAATGGAATGGAGCTGATGACTGCAACAGTGACATTCACGGCGGAAACATCATGATAGACCCAACGAATTTGTACCCCAACGGGTTCAACGGGGTTGTTACCTTCGATCTTAGGCGTCGCTTCTCTGAAAAAGGTGTGAAACGTCTTACAAGGCTGGAAGTACCAGTAAAGTATTACTACATCGACTTCGGTTCAAGCGTTCAGTTCTCCAGTGAGAGTGAGCGGAAGCCCGTCCGTTTGACCGCTGCCGTCTACCTTCCACCCGAGGTCAAGAAAGACGTTGATGGCTTTTACGATCCGTTCAGAGCGGATGTCTATTCCCTTGGTCTGACCATTATGAGGGAAATCCTGGTCCGTAGCACAATCTTTGGGCTGTATGACAATTTGACGTTTTGAAAGTAGCGCCCTGAGCTGCGCTTTCTTATACCCCCCCTCAAGCCGATGCTTCAGGACAATCCCGACGATCGTCCGACCGCTCAAGAGATGACCGATATTTTCAAAGAAACGTTAAAGCTGGTAACGAAACAGCAGATGCGCCGGAGGCTAACGTGGACGAAGGAGGCGGGGAAACTAACGATTCGTTTTCATGCATGGTGTTGGAAGGAGTATTCGAAGCTATTATGGCAATCATATCGGTACGGCTTACCAAAGAATATTCTTGTATAGCTTTTCATTGATTTCTATGACGAGGATTGGACTGGGGTAATGACTGTCGAGCGTGCCAGGCCGATTCATGTCTTTGTCTTGCTTGCCTGAGGTGTATGATCACGTGCCGTCTGGTCTCAGTTGCTTCCTTGTCTCAACTTCTGCGCACTTTTGTGCGAAAGGACTCGAGACACCTAACAATATTCAAGTTGTCTTCAATCATTATTATTCTCCTATTGTCTACCTCCCGCGACAAGTGACAAGTTTTCAGTAATCTTGGTACACAATGATGCTGGCAACCGAGCGGAACACACGAGTTCAGGATCCGGCAGGACAACGTGCGGCTCAAAACTGCCGATATCGTATTGGTGGCCGAGTGAGAAGACATGCGGCTCAATTGTCGCCGAATCCACGGACTGCTCTGACCCCTGCGGCAAATCTCCGAACACTCCATCTCCATGCCGCCTCCACCTTCTCCGTCCTTATCCATACACATCTCTACCAGCCGAACCGAGGGCTGGGGCCCGTGGCGCACCGATTTGCCCCTGTGTTGCCTTTCTCCCTCTGTCCATTGCGGTCTCATTTACTATTCCTAACAAAAAATAACAATATCTTTGAAGATGAGGTGATCTCACATTCTTGTCCTCCCCTACACCCAGTTCGTTAGGGATCAGGTGGACATTCTTAGGACCCGGGGAGAAAGGGGGAGGCCCAAGGGGGTGAGGGCTTAAGCTCTGGAGCCATAGCTCAGCACCAGTAATAAGGTGTGCCAGCTTGATGGAACTGTCCTCGTATCTACGCTGATTCTCGTGTAGACACTACGTGGCGAGCTACGTGACATCCAGCCCTGGGCTGCTCTCCTCGAGCGAGGCTAAGCTCTGAGGTGGACTTGCCCGCTACCTTTTGGTGCTGCGAACGGATTGCCCAAAACAGACCATCGAGCTGCTGCAAGCTCCAGCGAAGCACCATTCTGCAGATCAACCAAGAACGAACATCTGGATGAGACGCCTGGAAGAAGCCAGGCAAGCATGAACAAAGAGCGGCAAGATAGGAGCGAGAAGAACCTCCCTCTTGAGTAGGAATACGATTCTTCGCTTTGTCATATAAAGACAAGTGTGTTTGCCTCCATTTTTCCTATGATGATATTGATGCTGATTTGTCTTCTTCCAGCGCAGCCTAGGGTCCCCAGCGTCATCCTCCGATTTACACCAGAGGCAGGCCGGCCCACGGCCCCGGCGCCCGAGGAGCGAAGAAAAGGTACAGCACGCAAGGGAATCGCACGTCCCGCGCGCGCCTGATACCCCTGTACCTGTGGTGTTGTCGTCCTAAGTTTTCTACATGGGTTTGGTTGATGGTCCGTGGTCTTGTGCACAGGCGGTCTGGCGACGGGCGATAAACGTACGAGATCAGGCTGTTTCCTCGGTTCAAACTGGGGCCTGCAGACATAGGCTATGTATGCACGTGGCGATCGGAATGTACGAAGTGGCCAGAAAGGGAGCACGAGAATGCCCCGCTCGAACTCCTCTTTACATTTGTCAACTCAATGCACATGGCTCGCGTATGTCTTCAATCTCGACCCACCTTCTACATTCAACGCAAGTATAAATATCAGCTCTCGAAATGCACTTACCCCTGTACATATCTACCCAATTCGTTCCTCAAGAACGTGGACCATCGACCCTCAGCTCAGTACCACAACGCTTTGATAACGAACGATGATGAACACTTCGCCGATGAAACAATCTTTCGATATCAACGCTCCCTACGGTCTCAACGCAGGAGAGCACGTCTGGCGTAGCATCGCGCCGATTCTCGCCAGACGAGGTTACACTCTTCGTCCTCGGTATCATGATGGCTGGGTTGGTTCCTGGGTTGGGACCAACAAGCGACCCGAAGAATGCGAGGATAGTATCGTGCTCGTAAGTTCTCTCTATGTGCGCATGGTTCAAGCACTGAATCCTTCGGAGGGCCGAAAACAACTTCTACTGGACGCCAAGTGGAGAAGCGGCTCGAATGTCATGCTGAAACTCTGGTTTGACAACTTCCTCGATCGCGTCGAGCCTGATGTCCTCCAGTACTTTTCGCATCCCAGCCGTATCAATGATTCTGCCAACCACTGCGTCCCTCTGTTGGACATGTTTCAGATACCTGGCCAACCATTTGTGAAAGTCTTGGTTGAGCCGCTCCTGCGGAGCTACAACGAGCCCCCTTTCATCATGGTGGCCGAAGCGTTGTCCTTTGTCCTTCAAACTTTAGAAGTGCGTGTTTCCTGCTCATTAGTCCACAAATCGGTCCACAAACCATTATTTTTAGGGACTGGAGTATATGCACCTTCATAATATCGCGCATGGGTACGCAAGCCACTCACTGTAGGGACAATGTGTTGACATTGCATCCAGCGACATATCACACAATAATATTCTGATGGACACTCATGATATGTTTCCAGATGGCTTTCATGGTGCATTTACTCTGAATCCCGGACATCGTATGTCTGAGACCGGCCTGCTGCGTCTCACAAGAATACAGGCACCACCAAAGTACTATTATATTGACTTTGGCTCCAGCTGCATGTGTCGGACATTCATGGGTAGCGCACTGGTTCTTTCGGTTGCAACGTCTTTTGTCCCTCCCGAAATCAAGGATGACCGAACCAAAGCATACGACCCTTTCAGAGGTGATGTATTTTCTCTCGGCATGACATTCCTGGCCATGGTTCAGGTGCGCTTGATCAACGATCTACCATTTCCCCTAGACTGATGAGAATGTTGAGAATCGCCCCGGCCTCACGTTTCTCCTTCCTATGATTCGCAGAATGACTGTTCAAAGTCCCTCTTCTCGACCAACCGTATTTCAGATCAAACGACATTTTCTCACTATTGTGCTCCGGAACTTGACCAAAACACAAATGATAGAACGCATAGGGTGGGAAGACACGTCGAAAATGACAACATTCGAAAGGGCTTTCGATACCAAAGAGCATTATGCCGAACTGTGGAACGATGTGAAGAGATATGGACTACCGGTCGATTTACTTACTAGCGGCACTACTGATGGGGCGCCTTGATATAAAAACACACTTGGATGGATCACAGGAGTGTTGAGTTGTATTTCATGGCGAGTCTGATGTACAATATATAGCAGGCACACGAGTACTCTCATCAATAAATAATAACAATGATGTTGTCCATATTATGTGACTTCCGGTGGGTTTATCACGGTGATGACGTGTGCCTGTGTAGCCGTGTTGACGCACCTAAGAGAGTCTATTCGATGTCGGGCTTGCAGAGCTTCCAGTGCGAGTTTCTCTGATACAGCCTAATCTTTGTTTCGCTTCCCGGTCAGCGGTGTTCGCAGCTTGGCGACGGGTCGGGCGGGTCGGGGTTAATTCGCTCGGGTCGTTGAGCAGAATATCGTCAGGGAGACCGTAGCGGAAAGACTGCCACCACAGCCCAAGATAGTCGAACCAATATCGAACTTTCAGTGGAAATGGTGGGCTAGCTTTTTTGGTCCAGCTCAATCTTTGCCGCATCTCTCGGTTAGACATATCCCGCAGAACTTCCCGAAAGGCTGTGGCCAACGCCTCGATCGGTGGACGCTCTTCTGGATCTCTCTTCAGCATGCGCGAAAGGAGCGCATATATGACCCAGTTAAGTTCTGGTCGGTCCTGTGTGCTTGGGTCAGTCGCGGCAGGTACGCTATCAGAACATAAACGCATGCCCTTATTAGAATCGTGATGGTAGCTCCAAGTTGCAATATGTCTGCCTTGAATCCGTCATACAGTGCATCGGCGTCATTCTTGCACTCAGGTGGTATGAACGCCGCCGCGTTGAACTGGACAAGCTTTCTCTCTTCATAGCTGGGGAACATAGTACTCGAGCCAAAGTCAATGTAATAGTATTTTGGCGGTGCCTGCATCGTATTGAACCGTTTCGCTTGTTTCATCAGGAGAGGATGGTCCGGATGGAAGTTGTACGGCCCAGGAATGCCTTTCGGAAACACGTTCTTCGCGTCCATCCTGATATTACCCGGGTGTATATCTCTGAAAATATGTCAAGTTCAGCAACTGAGGGAGAATGACGAAGAATGCCGGAACATACCCATGAAAAACGTTGTGAGAGTGCATGTATGCCAGGCCCTGAAGGAAGCGCTCAAAATCCGGGTTCGCAACGAAAGCATCGCCACCCACCTCGAACGCCTGACGGACAAATGACAGTGCTTCTGCCATCATCAGGGCCGATCGTCCCACGTGCAAAGCATTGGTTCCACCAATACGTAATCAACCCCCCTTTCTTGCCACTCCGTCATGTCTATCGTGTCAAGCAGCGGAACACAGCGATTGTCGGGATCGCCCGAGCGTGCAGGATCAGAGAAATATTGGAGGACCGCCAATTCGTTCCCATCTTGCGCGGACGTCGACGACCAAATTTTGAGGAGAACTGGTGCTCCATCTCGCATTCGTATCGCATTTATCACAACACCATGCTCCTGAAGAGATGTTCAGAGTGTGGGGGTACATTGCGACACCCTAGCACGCACGCTGATTCCGATGCTATCAACACACTTCTCCGGTTTTTTCTTCGTCCCGACCCATGATCCTACCCAACCCGGATGATATCGAGGTCGCAACATGTATCCACGGCTCTGCAGGTATGGTTGAACGGCGGACCAGTTAAGTTCTGCCTCGGTACGTCCATAAGGCGGCACGTACAGGTCGACTGGCGGCTCCGAGGTACCTGGGTCTCCGGTTGGATCTTGCGTAACGGGATGTTGTTTTTTCATTGTTAGGTTGACGAGCATGTAGAGAATGTAGAAGGATAGAGTGATGCGTTGTGGGAGTTGAACCTCAATAGGTGTCCTTCCGGCGCCTGGGAACCACATGTTCTGGTCGAAGGCTGTGCAGAAGTCGACAACATGAGGCAGCCAGGCAGTTGCGATTCAGTCGCCCCTCCGAGTCAATAAAGACGTATGTTGATGCTGAACAAACTCTTTGCAATCTAGTCACCGTCTCTGCCAACTCAGTCCCTCTTGTTCCTCAGTCATGGTCGCAATTTTCGAAAGTCCTGTCCCGAACGGCTTGGTGACGGATGTGGGGGTACCATGCACGCCATTCACGAGGCATACACCCATGCAAGACCGACTGTCATCCAATCGGACTGCAGTGCTTTGGTACAGGGCCTGAGAAGTGCTGCAGCGGATGCAGAGCAGGTGGGCGTTCCAGAAGCGGATGTCAATGCAGTCCTCACGGAGGCCGCCAAGTGTGTGCGCCAGTGTTCCTCTCCGCGTATGGCCTAAAGTGTAGTCGGCACTGTGGAAGACCTTCCTACAATTGGAGGACGTGGCAAATCTAGAGGCGTGTTGACAAGCTTGCGATTGTTATGGGGCAAGAGGAAGCTCCAATCCCTCAGTGATAGGATCATAGTACGGAACCCCTTTCTAGCTTTGCGTCAACAAGAGGACTGAATCAACCAAAGATCCTGCAGACAACGCACCAAATGCTCAATGAGGCCCGCGAATGGAAGGTATTCACTTCCCGCAAGAATCTCTCCACTCCACAACCATGGAGCAAGTTCCTCAGCGGCCTTGCGGTGCGTCGTCCGCATATCTCTAGAAACAGACTTTGCTCATCATGCGAAGCCTCAGATTCCAATACGTTTCCGGCGAGTGAGTCCCACTGGGAGATGACAGACAGAAGCACAGTGGATACAACGTCGACGGTCAAGAGTGCATCAACGGCAGAGGTTTCTCTCGAAACCGTCGGCACTACAAGAGATTCCAGCAAAGACAGCAAAGACACATCCAAGCCCTGCAAGGTATTCGAGGTCGACATGGTGTGCGAATCGACGAAGACCGTCGTCACTGCGGTGACAGAGGGCAGTAGCTCCGGATAGGCGATATACAGTTCGAAGTCCTCGGCGGGTCGGAGTCCGTATCTGGCTGTTCTTGATCCCTTGGACACGAAGTCGTGGACATTCGCGTGTACCCCGAGATGACTGTTATTAGACTTATCAGATTGTAGCTTCCTTGCATAAACCGGAAGGGAAGTCACTGACATGCGTCCCTGCTTTCTCAGTATCGGTCTCTTCTTCTTCTTCTTCCTCCGCCACTCCTTTCCCGTTCGTTGTCCTATCTAATCCCGTATTCTCGCTTCAAATCATCGGGTCGAATTCGAGTGGCATAAAGTTAAGCGGCGAGGAACGATATCCAACCACCGATGGACAACAAGCAGAGCGCAGCACAACGAAACGGTCATTGCAGGTTCTGTGCCCATCTCGGCAGTCTGCAGACCTGTGTCCTTCGGTCTCTATTGCCTCGCTTTGTGTGGCTCTTCATTTCTAGATTGATCGACCATATTGAGCGAGTACTGGCATACATAGGTTGAAGTTGCAATTGGTGTGTCTGCAGCCGCCTGAAATTGGCAATGCGACAGTGGCTGTGCAGAACCCACGCACAATGCACAGAGATAAACACCAGACCCCCCTAACTTTTAACAGGGTCCATTAGGACCCTTTTTCTCGCATGCCCAAAACACAGTGGAGGGGTATGCTGCAGCCAATGTTGCAGGGGTCATGCTGGCTCATGTGTGAAAACAGCAAACATTGCATTTCAGGGATGAGGGGATCATGTACACACACTGTAGCAGGTGTCTAAGACATGTTTGAGGCATGTGTACATGTATACAAAGGTTCCCAGACCTGCAGCACAACCAGAGGGAATGCACTAGATTTGCAGCAACTGCTGCAGCAGTGGATGACAAATGCTGTGGAAGTGTACTGCCATAGCAGTGGAAGCATTTTCTGTGTCAGGGTCCACGGAAACTGTTCATAAATTGCTTCCATGGACCCTTGTAGGAGCGTGCTGCAGCAACAAAAACACAGGTGTTGTGGCACCTGATCTGAATACAGCTGCAGCTATGAACAGGAATGTGTAGACATGCTATTGGCTTCTAGACTGACCAGTTACTTTTAAGGCATGTCATGCTTTGGCTACTGTTGTGAAGGAGTATTAGGCAAGCATGGAACTGTACCACAGGGTTCTCTGCCGCAGCTCACTGGCAGGATGATGTAGCACACAACGAGATACCACTGCAGCCACATTGGGGGATGGATCACCCTACAGGTGCAAGATGTTAATACAGGCTATGTAGTACACAGCACTGGCTACAATGTCCATGCTGCACTGGCCCTGCAGAAAGAAGTGGAGCAGCTATGCATATGGCAGGTCAGCTGCAGCAGGATGCAGGATGCAAATGAAATATGGGTGCAGCCACCTTGGGGGATGCATGGCTCTGCAAGCCTTCCTTCTCAAGCCCTGCCTCAACCATGTGTGCTTCACAACTGCAGGTTCCAGTGAAATACAATACCTGGGGAGCAGCACCCAATGCGGCAGCTATGCATAAGACAGCTGCACTGCAGCATGAGAAACAAATGTGGCTGCACCCCCATGGGGGAAGGATGGCTCTGCAACCCTGACTTCTGAAGCCCAGCCTGATTCATGTGTGTTTCACAGCTGCAGCTCTCAGTCAAATGCAATCCCAGGTAAGCAGCACTCAATGCAGCAGCTATGCATATTGCAGGTGGGCTGCAGCATGCAGCAGCCTGCAAACAAAGCCCACCTGGCTGCTAGGCTGCAGCATGATTCAGGCTATGAAACAAAAAGGCTGCAGCCCCCTCTGGGGATGGGTGGCCCTCCAATTGTTGTTTGTCCACACTAGCCATGCTCCATTTGTGTATGCCAGTAGTGGCTGTTGCTATAATACAGTGGTAGCCAGGCAGGAACATGTGTTGCAGCTGCTTGTCTGCCACCTCAGCTGCAGCAGGATGCACCACCACCCACTGGAGGGCTGCAACCACCCTGTGGGATGTGCAGACCTCCAATTCTTCATGCTCCACCTTAGCCATGTGCCATTTATGTTGGCCAGTAGTGGCTGTTGCTGCATTACCATACTGGGTAGGCAGCAAGCTCCACAGCAGCAGCAGTTCTGGCACCCCAACTGCAGCACCATACACCATACACCATACACCCACAGTATGGCTGCAGCCACAACTGGGACTTTGTAGCCATCCAACTGACATGGATACAAACTTGCCAACTTTTCTTCTATTTGGACTTGCAAAATCCAGCTAAGCACCATCACATGTTGTATGTAGGCTGCAGGACCATATGGTACATAGGTGAAATAGGGCTTGGGTCAACATTGAGATTATATTCCCCAGACAGTCTCCTCCAGCCTCCATGTAATTTACCTCACCCTTGGAGTTGCAGCAGTTGTAGCAGCAACATTGTGCTCCCCATACATTGAGCAGCACAGGAGGAACACTCATTGAAGTCCCATTGCTGCTGGATGCAACATCTTCAAATAATCCCACTATGTCCACTCCATCAAATGCTTGGAAATGGCTGCCCATGATGCTGCAAGGAACAGTGCTGCCCATGATGCTGCATACAACAGTCCTGCCATGCGCTGTAGCATCATCTTTCAATGCTGGAGGAGCTGCAGCATGTGCTGAAATGGCTAGAATCAGTTTGTGTTCCACACCCATACTGCAGAACTCTCCATTTGGCTTGCTGTACACCACATGCCCATGCAAGAGATCCACATGGGCATGGATCAATGAATGCTGAAACTCTCTGTGCTTCATTTTGCTTCCCTGTGCATGCTACCACTGTGCCTAGGCAACAGCCAGTGTGTGGCATTGCAGTATGTGTATGAAAACACCATGGCGTGTCTCACTCATGCACTCATGTGCCAGGTGAGAAAAAAAATGGAAGCTGCAGTGCGGGGTGCCTTCCCTTTGTGTCTTCCATGCCCTGTCCACCACCATGAACTGCCGGAGCAAGAGGGGCTGTGCAATACCTCCTATACCCCCTACTGCTGACCATCATTTTCCATCCTTTTTGACCACCCCTTCTATGACCCAACAACCATGACACTGGCCCAGCCGGTTGAAGAGGGTCACTGAAGGGGCACATGCTGCTGCTGCTATGGTTGATGTGCTTCAGCACAAACCTACCAGTCGCTGCAACTCCCCTTTGGAATCAGCACTCCCTCAAACTCCGCACTGACGGATGACATGCATTGCTAGAGGAGGTCCTGGTTAGTGTATATCCTCATATTTCTGTTGATATCAGTTGGCTGACTTGGGTGTGGTAGCAGCCCCCCTGACAGGTTCAACTGCCATGGCTATTCCACAGAGTACAGGAACAACTTCAGATGGCACACCCACACCTAGGCCTACTGCCGCAGCTGATGCAGCTTTCATGCCATCCGTCTTGTGTGATCTCCTCTCCTCACTGATACCCAATGATCCATTCCTCACATCCCCTCACCAAACCACCCCAAAGAAATGCCAGCATTGCATGCAAACTGACAACAAGAGCAATGCATCAAGTAATATATCAAGAGTCAAAGCTGTGGTCTCAGGAGCAGCTCAGCATAGCAAATGGTGGACTGCATGGTCTGCTCTCATACCCTCCTTGGTAGAACCACTGATGGAGTTCTGCCTGAGGCTCCTGCAGTGGATGATGCAGCATCTTCCCACAACTGCAGAAAAAAGTCGTTGTATATGTTTGACTCCTCAAATTTCCGCATGAGTAATTGAGCTACTGGACATATCTTGTGCATTTCCACTCCTGCAGCAAGTTCCCCCCTGATAATGGCATTAGCTGTGCAAACTGTAACAATCTATTGCTGTACTTGAGAAACATGCTATCCACAGCTGCACCAACTACTGCTCCTCTGCAGCTACTTCCTATCATCTCCGCTCCATCCATGCTTGGCCATTTCTGTTCTTGCGCTGGATTTTTTCTTGTCCCAGAACAACCGTCAAACACAGTCTCTTTCTGGCTGGTGCAAAGGAGTTGTTGCAACACTGTGCCTTCAGAGGTACCAGATCCAAAACAAGGCACATAACACATGTCCACAGCTGTACCACCACTGAACTTGCATCCAGAAACCATTTGAAAAACAGTTTCCTGAGGCCATTCTTTGGTTTGACATGCTGTCACGTTTGCAGCAGCAGCAGACAATCTGACAGATTTATCATACCTCACTTGCTGCAGTGCTGCATGCTCATGGGCAGCTATTGCAGCTAGAGGCTCTCTGCCCACTTTGTTTTTGTCAATCGACATGGGGGGGAGATATAGAGAGGTAAGCATTCATATCTTACCACCAGTGCATTCACCTTATGTATGTATAGTAACCCTGACATCCATCTCTGCATTGATGCCCAATTTGGACACCATCAAATGGCTCAGATAGCCCAAGACCCGGCCATTATCCCCTCTGAGTTCTTCTTGAGTGAGGGAGAGGTAGCCGCAGCATGATCCCATGTGCAGGAGCTGCAAGGCCAGTCTGCTGTAGGTTCACAAGGTGCAGCTGTGAGGGGCAGATCATCACCCACTGCCGCTGCAGCCACTGAAGGACCCGGTGCTCTGTCTTGCCCTACTGCATCTGAGGAAGATGTGGTGTTTGATTTGTGTGAGGCATCTTTTGAACCTGCTAACCTGGAAAGAAGACGCATGAACTCAAGCCAATATTGTGTCCATGGCATCATTGCAATTGTTTGTTGCCACAATGTGCTGCTGCACTTGACAAATTTGGTAGACACAGGAGAGAAACATTTCTATACTGTTGCCTTGGTGCAAAAGGTCATGGATCAGCTTCACACTGCAGCAACTGTTGGCATCTTGTATGACATTGCTTGCCAGCTACACAGATCTGTAAGGAAGGTGTGTACCAACTCCATACCAAAGAACAATACTCACAGCATCACAGCACAGGCTGATGCCAGAGCTTGAAGGCCGCATCACATGGGCAATGTCTGTGTTGCACACTTATGGGCATTAGTGGGCTTGCCAACTTCTCTTTCACCCTTGAAAATGAATCAGGTTTGGCTTGACCAATGGGGAGGGTTGTGAGCAGATATGGGCTTGGTTATCAGATTTGATTCCCAGTGGGAGGATCATGGCTGTGAGTTCATAGATTCCCAGGATCAGAAGTGACCTACCACATGTAACATAGCCCAATTGCCATCTATTCAGTTTGGAAGGGCAACTGCTGCACATAGCACTGCAGCAGCATCAGCATTGCCATGTACAAGACCTGCATTGCAAAGCAGATGTGGGACTACCTTCATCTGGATATACCACATCTGCTCTGTGGACACTCTGGGTTGACCAACAGCATAGTCAATGATCCCTTTGCTCCTGTAAGTCACTTCTATATTATTCCCCTCCATATCTTATTCAACCTGCTTCAGGGTACAAAGCTGTTGCAAAATATCATGTGGATAGTTTAACTACTGTTGCTGAGGACTATGCCTCAATGGTGCAGCAGCTTTGGGATGCTTTGACAATGGTTATCACATCCTATGAAGAATCCAGGCTTCATCAAAGTACCCTGACTAATGATGTAGTCATCAACATTGAGCAGTATTGCACCTTAATCGATTGTATCTCACAGCAGCAGCCAGCTGTAGCACATCTTGCGGAACAGCTCAGAGTGGTTTGTATCATCAAGGGAATCAAGCACCATATATGTTGCTCAGATTCCCTACATCATTGCACTGTCAAAATGTATGGTGTTGAAGGAAGGTATAGTGTGGCAGCTTGTGCACTGCAACATGGAGATGGAAGTGATTCATTGCCATAAATGTCGCCACAATGAAGGTGGACCAACAAAGGTGCACCTAGGGAAGCGCAGCATGTTGTCATTGAGGTGATTGTTAACCTCCATACAGATATCACAGGTATCATGCATGTTGAGGCCAAGATAATGCATTGTGATCATTCATGCAAGGAGGCCATCCGGTGGTACAACTTAGCCATCAATGCACTGCAGCATATTGAGCCGCAACTGGTGTGGGTACAGTCAGGTAATGTTCCATGCTTGATTCCTATGAGTATCCCTCTAGACACCAATGTGGACTCCCCCATCTGGTATACCCTCTGGTTCAATACTACTGGAGCACCACCACCCAAATGGTTCATCAACCCCAACATACATCATGGGATCAACATGATGCTGCAGCATGATCAATGTGAGGAAGAGGAGGTGTGGCTGGCAGCTGTGTGGATTCAAAGAGTGGTTGAGCATGCAGTATGCACCTACAGGTCTGAGGAATCCTCAGGTGCTCAACTCGGTATTGTGCAGGTACTTTGCAAGTATCTTGATCTACACAGACACCTTCAACCCCTGCTGCAGCAGCCTGTGGATGTGCAGCTACTGTCAACTGCATGCAACATTGTGGACCACTCACTAGGTGCAGTGCGTGTCCCTGCTCCACAGCATGGTCCCAGGGGGCTGCATAATATTGAGGAACCCGATGAAGAGGCAAACATGGTGGAATTTTTTGATGACTTGGTGGCTGATGGGGTGGCTGCCAGTGCAACACAGGATGAAGACATATCCACACATGATTCAGACAGTGAGGTGGAGGCGGAACTCTTAGAAGGTCATGCTGTATGTCATCATGTTCAGTAGTGACTTATTCTAACTTTGATCAATTGCAGAGCAGGAACTCAACAGCTTCCAGTGACAGCAGTGATAGCTGTGACTGACGTATTTCATGGATATCTGCTGTAGTTTTCTTAATACATTGTTAGGGCAACACAGGCTGACTAAGTCTGCTCACCTAAGAGTGCCAAGAGTCTAAGCAGGCAACAAGGAAGTGGAGTAGACCTGATGACT